AGAAAATATAAATAAATGTACTTCAATAATCAATTCAATCTTTGCGTCGTGACTCCATTAACAAGAAAGACAGAGATCGGAGTTGTACAAGAAGCGATTTAAGATGACAAGAAAGAAATACACTCAAAACTGTGGAAGACGATGTGGGACCAATTGGGAACATCATCTAGAAGTGGGTTTTATCGATCATCGATGCAAGAAGCTGAGAAAAGGTGAAACACCACCTTTCTACCAGCTCCTTTAGAACAAAAGACTAGAACTAATCCACAAGTCTAATACTCCCAGTAATTTAATTTGTACAGTATACTAACCGGATTCCAGGTGCCTTTTTGTGTCCCCAAAAAAACTATGATTTGTCATGCAGATGTGGGAATATGAAAGGAATAACAATATTATAACGGAAAGTAAAGAGAAAGGGAATTTCCAATTTACCTTTTTATTGGTAGTCGATTGCTGTTGATGTGTTTTACTTCGCAAAATTTTTGCTTCGCACTCCTGTTTTCATAGCAATTTATTTTTTCGTCGTTCTTTTGTAAGCATGACACCTTTTGCATAACTTTTTTCTACAGAACATGATTTTATGAAGAACATTGAAATAGATTGATTTTTGTTACTCGAAACTTTTTCATCAAAATATTCACCCTAGAAGCCTGTAATCTCTATGTATTATACCTGAAAAATGTTAATATAGAGAACCTCACTCATAAAAGACAAACATCCTAGGCCAAAATGAAAACGTCTACTAATACATTTATCAAGACGGTTTTTATTATCTACGTAGTAGTACGTATAATAATTATTCGATTTTTTTACATGAAAGATGATTGGGAAAATATTTTAAACAAATATCTAAAAATGCATTAATGGTGCGTTGGTAAGTATGGTCTGCTAGTTCAAATATTTACTGGAACAAAATGTTTGATTCTTCCAGAAGCAATCTTTTCGCTCCATCCCTGCCCAACGTCATGCCAATAAGTTACGATTGCGTTGTGCAATGTGTAAGAGTCATGTAAAAGAAAGAAAGAGAAAGGTCATTAATATGTTTATTTCTGTCTTCTATAACTCTAACAAAACAACAGGCACAGGTGAACGTCGATTCGATCTTTTTTGTTTTTAATGAATAACTCTCTCTCAGGCTGTTTCTTTTCATCGAATATTTAACTATAAAATATCAGTTTTACTATCAGCGTCATATTGTTTAACATGCTTAGAACACATCACGAAAGAAACTGTTCAACACGCATCGTCAAAACTTTTAATTTAAGAATAGGCTAGAGTAGTGCCATCAAAGGTAAATTAGAAAACTCAGATCTGATTATTTCAATGTTAAATATTTCCCATCATGGGTATGGGTGTATTTGTGGGTGTTTGAGTGCGCGTTTGGGCGTGGGTGTGGGTGTTGTTGAAGAGGAGAAGCGTATCCACATCCACCCACACACCCTACGCTCACCCACACACCCACCCCCACACCCCACACTCACACCCGCACCCACCCTTACACCCACAACCACACCCGCACCCACACCCACAACCACCCTCACAATCACACCCGCCCACATCCAAAAGCCAAACTCACACCACCACACTCACACCCACACGCGTCCACACCCTCAAAAGCAAGATAAAAATGAAAACCTTTCTATTTCCCCTGAATAAAAGTTTTGTTCCAACTGCTGACAGAGGAATCTTCCAGTTTCTGGAATATTCACTGGATTGCTTCATTTTTTTTTACTTTGACGAAGCCCTGTCATACTTTAATCTCATTCGTACATTTGGATGAGTGAAGAAAAGAATCGAATGACATAGTGCAAAAAATGAAATATAAATAGTTGCACTGACGTGAGTGGTATGTCTTTTGGCATTGAATGCTACAGAGAACGAAAAATTGGGTAGAAAATCGATACTTGTCGCTCAGACAAAATAGCAGCAGTCGACAACAGTGAGCACGATTTCAACCCTCTCTATCCTACTTGTGTCTCTCTGCATTATTCTTCGTGCTAATGTCGACAAATTTTGACGAAGAAATTTTTCTGCGGGTGTCTTGACGAGTCGGTGTCCGAAGCTTGAAAGGTAAAACTTTGAAGATAACGCTCATTTTCATCCTATTCCATGCTAAGTCAAGGATGATTTAAATCTTTTCGTCCTCACGAGATACGATGCACAAACTGCTACGTTTCATACGTGTTGCATTTGTTTTTTTGATAAACAAGTTTTTCTTTTTTTTACCATCCTGGAGGGTGCATGTTTGTTTGAGAACCTTTACTTCACTCAGTCTTTCATCTTTGTTGTCTCTTCTAACCTCTACTGCTGAGTGAAAAAAGTGCCCATGTTGAATTACACACGAGTGAGTCAATACCTTTTCACTTTGAATTGCGTTCAACATAAATTGCATCTTGATGAACATACATATAGCATAAGATACGTTCGGGATTATACGCCGAAGTAGTCTGATAAATAAAAGTTGTGCAGTATCTTGAACGGATTCCCTTTAATTAAGTCAGGTAATACACCACAACATACTGATCTACTACCACTGTAATCCTCGGCTTGAATCTTTTTAATTACTTCAAGATTAAGCGATGTTGTCTTGCTTTTTCAGAAAAAAATATAGCTGCAGCAGATAATCATGAACGGAGGTTCGATAGAAAGACGCTTGACACAAATTGTCTCATTGGCTACAAGCAATGACAAAGTTATTAAACAAATTGATTCTAGTGCATCAACGACAGTTAGTCTTTTCACATATGTACTAAAATGTTCCGACGGTACATTTTCTGTTGATGAGCAAAAGAAATCTCAAAGAGGAAATGCCGTTACCAGCGGTTGCCGTGAAAATATTTCTCTCATAGCGATTCCAGACATATTCAATGATAACATCAATTACTCTTGCAGCACCTACCAAGATCTTAAGAGATTAAATACAGGCATGTTTCGAGTTGTTCAAAAGTATGAACTATTCGGGGATAGCGAAAAAGCCCATAGGGAAATTAACAAGTTTGAGAAAAATTTTCAAACCATACAAGAGGCGCTAAAACGAATTACTGAGCTTCTCCGAACTGGTGGTGGTGGTCACCTGGCTGGCATTCAAGAACAGTTAGATAACGTCAACAATCAACTCAAGGCTCTTCGTCAAAATTACTCTAATCTAACTTTTCAGCAGAACCCAATGATGTAGCTTCCGAAATCGGATGACTAATATTGCGAATAAAAACAATGCGCTATGTGAATGTGGGTGTGGATGTGAGGTGTTGGGTGGGTTACCAGATTGGGTATGAGTGTTGGTATCGGGGTGTGTGTGAGGGTGTGGATGTGGATGTGGGTGGGCGTGGGTGTGCGTGTGGGTGTGCGTGTGGGGTGTGTGGGTATGGGTGTGGTTGTGAGTGTGAGTATTGTGTACCATTACACAGCATATTCACACCCACACCCACACCCACACGTCCACACCCACACCCACACGCCCACACCCACACCCACACGCCCACACCCACACCCACACGCCCACACCCACACCCACA